GCGAGTATCTGGATGTAGAATTTACTGCAAAGACGGTAAAAAACACAACGCCAGGGCTGAAGTTTGTTTGAAGGCCAGCAGGGGGCGATAGACTTCCAGCCCTGCAGAAGTTTATGGGTGGATGAAGTTTGGCTCTGACGTCTGTAAACACGGTCCTGATGGGTTTGTGGGTCAGTCGATAGTCACATCTTCCCCTCCCCATCACATCTAGTTTGTGTTGCCAAGATGGCGCTGAGGAATCGCACGTCGCTGTCACGGTAGAAGTCACATGGTCAGAAGTGCTGAGCCACCGCCATGCTGCGCCTGCAGGAGCTGCTCAGCTGCTGGTGCACAGTTTGTGTGCGGATGTTGGTGCCAGAGGAGGTTTGATTCGCTGTGTGGCCCCGCCCCTTACCTTTACGCGGTGGTTGAGTCGCTGTGGTTTTATTATTATTATTATTATGGTTAGTTTGTGAGTTAGGCTAACATTTAGTCACAGAGGAACGTGCTTCATGGTTAAAACACCTTAAATAGAAACATTTGTAGGGTCACATGACCTTCAGTCTTTTTGTTGAGTGTGAATCAGAAACTTCCCAGCAAACCGTCACTAAACTGAGTGAAACGCAGAGAAAGTTCTTTTCTTGCCTTTCTGCTTCTTTCTCAGGTCGTTTTCAGAGGGCTTGATGTCCACTCCACAGCAATTATCTCTTTATTTCCTCGCTGACTCGTCTTCTTGGTTATTATCGAGTTAGACCGCTCTGTAGCCACACTCTTTGTGCTGACTGCACACTTTGTTTGCTCCTTCACGCCTGCTGCAAATCAGAAATGATGAATTATGAAGGCTGCACGCTGACGTGTCACAGCGCCGTGAGGCCGCAGCCTCGTTTGCGTGCTCCGTGTGGCACCCGTCACGTATGTTACCCTGTTTATTTACCGCTCACATGGCCACGGTGTTCACTCCTCACCTCAGAGTTCAGAGAACATTTGATTGAGGACCCGCTCACCACGTGTTTCATTGGCTTTACCTGATCTGTGATGTCACTTCCTGCGTGGCCAGTTGCAGAGCAGTTTTACAGATGAGCCCAGGTTTAAGGCAGATTTAGACCTCGCTGTTAAACATGCGCCATAAACACAAACCTGTGTGGCCTCCTATACACTTCCAGCTACTTCTACTTCTGCCATGTCTTGTTAGCACATGGTCATGACCCATGACCCATGACCCATGACCTCATGACCATGTCTCCCAGGCGAGGCATTCCAGGGCAGAAGCTGAAGACAGATTGCTTCCTGTTTCGCTTTCGAACGACTCTGATTAGACTACTGCCTCTTTGACCCAAACTTCCAGATGGATGGATGCAGGGATGGAGGTATGGATGGATGAACAGGTGGATGTAAGGTTGGATGGATGTTGTTGTTGGAGGGATGCATGGATGGAGGTATGGATGGATGGATGAACAGGTGGATGTAAGGTTGGCTGGATGTTGTTGGATGGATGGATGGAGGTATGGATGGATGATGAACAGGTGGATGTAAGATTGGATGGATGTTGTTGTTGGAGGGATGCATGGATGGAGGTATGGATGGATG